AGGTGCATAATATGGGCACATTTCAATCCAAAAAGATCAAATTATTCCCAAACGTAGCACAAATTATATTTTCTTGATTGTAAAATTTTAGAAAAAGATGCAAAAATCTTGTTCGACTTGACTATGTCAAAAGAACAAGAAAATGGCAACCATTTCCATTTAATCTTACTTTCATGAAGTATATAATTTTCACCTTACAGACATACAGATAGAAGGAAAGAAAATAAGGAAAAGGGGACTTACGATCGTCCGGGATTACAATGAAATCAATCTGCAAGAAGAAACGAAACACACGGAAGACGCGGAAGACGCGGAAGACGCGGAAGACCTGAAAAATATTAATATATGAAACGAAACAATTACACAATAGTCTAGCTTGAACATAATGTTACGAATTAAAATAATATTAAAAAGAAGAAGAATTAGAATTAAAAATATTAAGAGTAACATCAAAATTCTTAAAAAAATTAAGAATTATTAAAAAGAAAATGAAAATGTCATCTACTCGCGACTGTTCAAGCTAAACTGAAATGATGTAGCCAAACGGTCAACTATGTGCATCGATTGTGCTGCCATCGGAAATTGATATTTCTACCGATTATAACAATTTATGCTTAATAATTATTTTAATAATTATTAAATTAAAACAGATTTGTAAAAATAAAATATTAAAAGATATTTTTATTTTATTGATCATACAAATGTGTTTATAATCTTATTGAATTAAAAGAACAAAAAAATAATTTTTACGGCGAAAGAAAATTTTTTTTTTATTCAACTTGACAAAAGCGACATCTATAAATACTACATTGTAAATATCGATATTCTCATTGTTTCTTCGAAATATCTTTATAGGCATTATAGAATTTGAAATACTATACTTTTATTTACATAAACAGATTTAATGTTTTTTTTAGAAATTAACTTGTTCTCTGTTTTTTTTTAAGTATATTTTTCTAATTATTTCATGTTGAGACAAAATTCTTGGTATAAACTGTTCCTTACAAGCTTAATCAAATTATCTTTTACTTATTTATTTATTGATAATAACAACTATTATTTTTTTCATTTATAATTAAATTTTATTATTAATTATTATTAATTATTATTTTATTTATTAATTTTTTTAAAATATAAAAGTAGAAGCAATTATTTAGTTGTAATGATATCATCAATTTATTTTGTAATTAGGGATTCATTAATATTATGACATCATTAATAATTTATAATATTATAATTTAAAAAATGAAGATTATATGCATGCAATGTAATAGTAAATGAATATTATTATTACTAAATTTTATATTATTATTACTAAATTTATTATATATTATGATTATTATTTAATAAATTTATATAAAAAATAAAAATTTTTAAAAAATCTTTGCCTTCGATCTATCTACTCTGTTTTTTATCTTATATATAAAGAAAAGAAAAAAATTAAATAATTATCATAATTAAATATATTGCTAATATTTAAGTAAATAAATATTTTATAAAATCATAAAAACGTTGACCAAAACTAGTAATTTCTAGAAACTAGTAATTTTTAATAACTAGATCGAACTAAAGTACTAATACCGAAATACCGAATTTACAATTCTTACCATTACTTGTATATTTATAATATTCTTTAATTTTTATATATTTAAAAATAAAATCAAACTCAATTGAAATGGAATATTTATTTGAAAATTAATTAACTTAACATTTATAAATATTTCGATTATCTTCTAGTTTATATATTGTTTATGACTATATCACGTGATTATGTTCGTTGTTTCAAAAATATTTCAATTTGTAAACAAATTTACAAATTATATTAATATAATTACTGTAATATAAATTTGTAATATATAAAATAAATTTTATGATTCGATAAAAAAATTCCATAAAGTATCTACTGTTTTTATATTTTTATAGTTATAAATTAAAAAAACAAACTTGAAGAAAACGTTAAAGAATCAATAATAATAAAAATACTAAAAGTAAGTTTGTTAAACTATTTAAATATATTTTGAATGAAAAATGTTACTTATAGGTATTATAAAATTAATATATATATATATTATAAAATATATATATTATAAAATTAATATATATGGATAATTATAAAAAAATAAAATTTAAATGGCATATTATGAATCATTTTAGATACATTACAATGGAAAAATTAAAGTGGACAACGCCAATTAAAAATGGAAACGAACGCGAAAATTTAACAATTAAAAGCCCTGTTATATATAAAACTCCTGTAAAACAATGTGAAACAAATTCAAAATGTACAACATATCAAAGTAATATTAGTTCTTTTAGTGTTCTTCCAAATCATATTACACCTCCCTCAGGTTTAACAAAGTTTATGGCAAGGAATCCATTTGAGACTGATTTAACTAATAGATTACATTTATCTGTGATTAGTCCAACTGTATTTAGTAAGGTAATTTTTTAAAATATTTATTAAAACTAAAAATTTTATGATATTTTTATTTTATTAAACGATATTTGAAAATAATGAAATTATTTTTATATCATTTTTTAATTGTTGTAATTATGTGTGTAATTATTATAATGTTTCTAGGTTTCAAGTCCATCCCAACAATCTTCAAACTTTGAATGGAGTGTAGATGAGCTAGCTTTAATACAACCAGCAAAAATAGAAGAGTTTCCCATACAACAGATACATTGTATTGACACAGAGACTGAAATAAAAGCTCAAGCAGCTATTGATCAATTTTTTAATGAAAATGAAATAATTCCAAGCCCGTGGGAAACAAAGAGAAAAGAAATTAAGACAAAAATTGAAGTGAATACTCCTGTAAGGTCTTCCACTGATTTGAATTTGGATTCTTCTAACTCAAAAAAAGATGGTATTTATGTTAAATAATCAAGAAATATATTTTCTATGTTCTAATTTTTTTATTTTAATTTTTATTATAGGTTGGAGTCAAACAATGTTAACATTTGCACCTGAATTGCCATCTCATGTTATGGAAATTTTAAAACCTTACTTTACATTCGTTCAAGTAAATACAAAGTTGATATTATTATTCAAATTATTAGATATTATTGCTTTGATTTTAAACTACTTTTTTTGTTTTTAGAACCAAAACATTGAAAGTGATGATGCAAATTCAAGTAATAATTCTTTAAGACGAAAGTTGTTTTTCAATCATGAAGATTATATAGATAATGATGAGTCTTCTATTTGTGTATCACCAGTAAAAATGAACGGATCTTTAATATTATCTTCCAGTCCTCCACAAAGTGGAATGTTAATTCATGGTGCTCCTTTAAAAGTAAATACAAATGTATTTTAATTAATTTTTATTAATCTATTTTATTATTCAATATATAAATATTGAAATACAGAAAGCACTGAAATTTCTTTTTTTCAGTATTCATCAAACGAAGATTGTCATTATGATACATCACAAATTAATACAGAAAATTTATCTCCTCCTAATGTATCTCCTATACACAATGCAATCCACATGTCATGCGAAAGTATAAAATCTCATTCAACTACTCAATTAAACTTTACTATGAATATGAGCATAGATCAACCTAATAATAAAGAATTATTAGATCATTCTTTAGGTAATTATTCCACATTATTAATATATATTCATTAAAAAAATAATCTACAATATTATTTTTTTAAATATGATTATCTATTTTTTTAGATAAATCCATTAATAAGAAAAACTTAGAAAGAAAAGTCGAGTTTTTAAATGTACATAATAATTCCACATGTGATACTCGCATAGAAAAAAAAGTCCTAAAAAATTCGATCTATGTTGAGCACAATTGCGATAATAAAACTTCAGAATTCAATTTTAAATATCAAAATACTGACAATACGCTTAAATACGTGACTGATTCGTGCAAAATGAATACGAATGACAGTATCTTTCAGCAAACAAATGTGATCTTAGCTACTTCTAATCAGCAAAGTGTTTCAAACTCTGCACAAGACACAGGTTATCAAACTTATAGTATGAATAATACAACAAATATTACTGATAGTTATAATATTACTCCAGTTAAGCAAAAGCTTTGTTGGGGTGATCAAATTTTAATAACTGACGATGAATTTCCTCTATCTGATTGGAAAGAGAATATGAAAAATATCTTTAGTTCTACTCCGTCACGAACGAATAGGGAAAAGGATAATCATGTATTTTAGATAATTTTTTTAAGAAATGATATATAATCTATTTAATTTTGAACATAAAATTATAACAAATAAATTGCTTGAAAGCTTAGAAATAATTTAAATATATATTATTGGAGATATATATATACATATATAATATAATTAAAAATAATATTATTATTTGTATTTTTTATATTTATATTCTTATTTTATCATGATGTTTTGTTTCTTAGTTAAATTTATAACATATAGATTTTAATATATAATGAATAATATAATTTTCAGTTTTTCACTGCTTTATATAATCTAAAATAGATTTTTTATAATATTAGATATATAAATATTATAAATAAATATATGAATACATTTGTCTAATATTGAATAAAATTATAATAATAATATATTAGATTTCAATTCAAATTAAATACATCAAAATTTAAATATATCTTTTAAAAATATTTTTGAAATATGAATACCTATATATAATGTATCTCATATTTTTCATATTTTAATTACGAATTAATTTTCGTATTAAAATGTGTAATAATTGATTAAAATCAAGGAAGATAACTGAAAAGTATATATATCTTACAAAAAATATCAATCTGATATAAAATATTTATTAATTATTAATTATTGATGATAATATTTCTAATGATCATATAATCATGATTATCATAAAAAACTAAATACACATATATAAAAATATATAGAAAGTTATGGAAAATTAGAAATTTTTCAATTCAATTGTTTTTGCAATTTTTTAATTGAAACTATGTAATTATTTAGGTTAATTTTATCAACTATATTTTAAGTGAATTTAAATTATATTTAATTAACTTTTGATTCTATCTTTTTTTATAAAAAATATCAAGAACAATTTTTTGTCAAGATGAATGCAAATCTCAAACTTTGTGAGTCCGATAAAATTGAAAAATTATATATTCTAGAAATTTTTATTGATTCGGTTACTATTTATGCCGAAAAATTGCAAAAAATTCTTCCTAACGAATTAGGTGTTGATTTAAAATTTATCGATATGCCATTGTTTCGAATTTTTCAAAGTTATTTTTTATTAACCAAGCCAGATAGATCAAAAGAGATAACTCGCGGACCAGGAACTTTTACTATAAATTTTAATGCTGGTAAAGCATATCTGTTCACTAGAAACCCCGGCGAACTTGTAGCACAAATGCGATCTAAACCCATATTATTAGACGTATATAAAATCAAAAAAATCGAAATTTGTCCCGAGGAAGTAAAAAAGTATCCATTAGGACATTCAGTAATTCCGATACCAGGTTGCTTATGTGACCACACAATGATGGCAAGCAATGATATATATCATTTACCAAAACCGTATGAAATAAAAAATATTTTTGTTCTTATGGACGAGGAATATAAGCCATCTGGTTATATAAATATTTTCTTGAGATTGACTTGTTTTGGAACGTATACAATCAATCCCTTCGTAATCGCAGGAAAAAGATTATTATATAGAAATATTGGTTCATTTAATGAATTTTTGTGCACTAAAGTAATGTATCCAGATGAGGAAGAAAGAAGAGCAGCAGAAGCTGGTACAAAATTCTGCATGCCTGAAAAAATATTTGAAGAAAGTGAACTAGATACTCCTCCAAGAGCAATAAATATAGCTCATTTGATATTAGTTTGTAAAGATTTATCGGAAAAAGACGGATATCCGCCAAATGTGATTTCTCCAAATTATCCCCCGAAAATTCCAGAAATAACTACTGAAGAAATTAAATTTGATATTAATAGAACACGACGAAAAGGATTTAAAATGATAGTTCAAGAAGAAGTTAATGCTATTACTCCAAGATATAAAACATGTATTAATATTGGATGCCCTGGTAACATTTGCACGGGACAAAAATAACAATAAAGTTAAATAAAAATAAAAGACGATCATCAAATTAAATAGAATTAAAAATTATTTTCATAAATAAAAATGTTAAAAAAGAAATAAATATTGTAAAAGGATAAATTAAAAAATATAACAAAAAAATAAACGATTAATTTTTAAATTATTCTTTAAAATGTGTAACTTTTTTATACTTGAGACAAGTTTTTAAGAAAATAAAATAAAATGTGTAAAAGTAAATTGTGATATATAAATCATTGTATAAAATTTCTAACGTCGGCCGTAATAAATCGTAGAGGGCGTAAAAAGCATTATGATTTTTTTTGAGGTCGGTATTTCAGAGCACGTAATGTAAAGTTTGATAAAACATCATATTTGATTTATAAATCTGATCTCAAAAATTTTTATATCGCGAAAAAATATCATATCTATACTTTGTTCATAATTCACATTTATTGAATATTTAAAAAATAATTAAAAGGATTTTAAAAATGTAAAGGATATATTGATTAATCGATGTAACTGCGATTATTTTCGAAGCAATCTTTAATATAGCAACATAGTCAGTCTTACAGTAATAAGCCAAAAATACAATCTATATATCGAGCTTTCGGAGAATGGGCAAAAATGATTTGTGTTTTCCTTCATAACTAAATCGTAGGACCAAAAAAAGATTAACGATCGCATTTCGTGGAAGAGAAGGAAAACATGTGCTCCTTTCGCCCGAACTCCTGAGACAAATTTTACAATTTTACACATAATCATATTATGTATCACGCTGCAAAATTGTAGGTCCTGTTCTTCCACGATCTAAATCTCGTTTTGAATGAAAGAATTTCACGAATGTATATACGTAAATTGCATTTTCTTCCACCATGGCAACGGAATGACATTTTATGGTCCTATTTTCAGTGAATCTTTCGATGAATCATAATTGAAAAATTGTAAATTAACAACGAGCGCAGAAATGTGTCACTATGGCATATATCATTCTATCAACAATTGCAATATTTACAATAGTGCCTGCTAGAAAATGCATCTCAAAATATTTAAAAGAGTACAATTTTTAAAATATCTCAATTTTCAAAATCAATCCAAGCGAATAAGTTCTTAAAATCGTTAATATACGACAGACTAAAATAAAAATTGTTAAAGTTTAATCTAAATTTTTATCTATTAATTTAATATTTTACTTATCTTATTACAATAACATACTAAATTATAGTTGAATTTGCGAAATTATTTTAATTAAAATTAATTTAAACGTAATATAAACTACTTTTTAGTACGGTTAATAAATATGTCTTAGAAAACTATATATTTATCTCTTTCGATATATAAATTTTAATAGAATCCAAATTTAAATAATAGAAAAAAAGAAAACGAGCGTCTTTTTGATTCTCTTCGAGTTGCGTTTTTCGAGGCATTATTGTATAAATTAGAAATGAAAAAAATTTTTTACATATTATTAAGCTAATTTATAAATGTTATACCAAAAAGAAAATATTTCGAATTTAATGTTTAAAAAACTTATCATTATAAGACGAGGGTTTGCTTTGAGTTGCACACATTTCTGAGCTAAATGTGTTACAAGTCTCATCACAAGTGATGAGACTTGATCTCTGTGACTCGACTCAATCTAGTTTCAAAAGCGACATTTTAATTAAATATGCATTGAAACACTATCATAACGAGTTTCAATCTTTTAAATTTCAGTGTACAGAATGAATCGTAAACGTTTACAGTGAGTTTAGAATATATCAAACAGTGCAAAATAACGTTGGCTTTAAACAAGATTAAAAAGCATAGATCCGAAGAAAATTTTGTAATTAAGGCCCGATTTTCAATATCATTTTGTCATCAATTTATTGAATTATTTGATTATAAATTACTATATCAATATAAACTACTTCTACCAATCAAATTATATTTTTTTTCGCCAATTGTTTTTTTTCACACATTTTTATTTCATTCATAAACATGACTGGTTTAAAACAACTTGTTAAAATTCTGACTACAGTTCTTTTAAGAAAATAAAATAATTTATCTTTGATTTTAATAATATAGTAATGGAGAACATACATTTTGTTTATTCATTGTTATCAATTGTTAATTGATATATTATTTATAATAAAAAAAAAAAAGAATTTAAAGAACTTTGAACTTGAAAATTTTAAGATTTCAAAAGTTTTTAAAATAATATTTTTTTCAAAATTTTTCTCCAAGTCTGTCGGACATTAATTACAAATTATTTTAGGACACTGATACAATTTCGGACCTAAATTATTACCAGGATAGGGAAAACGATAGATACAAATATATAGATATATTATAATAGTTATTTGAAGAAACATTTAAAGCCTTACATAAAATATACAGTATGATGTGTATCGGCACGTATGTATGATAAAATTATGTGATATCTATGTGTGTGTATGTGATTGTATACCTTTCATTTCTCTCGTACAGATAATAATCGTGTCACACGTTGAACTTAACCAGCATGTCTATATATATATATATATATATATATATATATTATATATATTATATAATATAATATATATATATAATATATAATATATATATATATATTATATATATATATTTATAATTATTATACGTGTTCAAAAGATGTCTCAAAATATGCAATCATATTCTTTAACGATCTTTTTTCTTCTTTTTCTTCCTCCTTCTTCATTTCTTTTTTTATTTTTTAGTTCTCGTTAATACAAAGAGAATAATAATACATATTCTCAAGATTGAAATACATTATTCGGTGTACTCTTGGACTGAGACTTGATACGGCAGTAGTAATAGTAATAGTAGTAATAGTAGGAGGAGGAATAGCAGTAATAGTACCAGTAGCAGCAATAGTAATAGTAGTAGTAATAGTAATAATAATTTTAATAAGAATAAGAATAAGTGTAAGAATAAAAATAATAAGAATAAAAGTGAGTAAATATAAGAATAAAAGTGAGAATAAGAGTGATAGTAAGAATGATAGTGAGAGTAAGAGTGAAAGTGAGAATAAGAAAAAAATAAAAGTAAGAATAGAAGTAGGAATAGGAGTAGAAGTAGGAATAGGAGTAGGAGTAGGAGTAGGAATAGGAATAGGAGTAGGAGTAAAAGTAAAAGTAGGAGTAGGAGTAGAAGTAAGAGTAGGAATAGAAGAGTAAGAGTAAGAATAAGAGTAAGAGTAAGAATAAGAGCAAGAGCAAGAACAAGAGCAAAAGCAAGAGCAAGAGCAAGAGCAAGAGCAAGAGCAAGAGCAAGAGCAAGAGCAAGAGTAAGAGTAAGAGTAAGAGTAAGAATAATAGTAAGAGTAAGAGTAACAGTAAAAGTAATAATAAGAATAAGAGTAACAATAAAAGTAAGAGTAAGAGTAAGAGTAAAAGTAAGAGTAAAAAAGTAAAAGAGTAAAAGAGTAAAAGAATGAAAGAGTGAAAGAGTAAAAGAGTAAACGTAAGAATAAGAGTAAAAGTAAGAGCAAAAGTAAGACCATGAGTAAAAGTAAATGCAAGAGTACAAGTAAAAGCAAGAATAAGAATAAGAGTAAGAGGAGGAATAAGAGAAAGAATAAAAGTAAAAGTAAAAAAGAGTAAGAGTAGGAGGAGAAGTAAGAGTAAAATAAAAAATAAAAGTAAAAGTAAAAGTAAGAAAGAGTAAGAGTAAGAGTAAGAGTAAGAATAAAAAAATATAAAGAGTAAAGAGAATAAAGAATAAATAGTAAGAATAAGATTAAAACTAAAAATAAGAGTAAGAATAAGAATAAGAGCAAATATAAGGAAAAGAAAAATAATAGGAATAATAATAAAAAAAAAAGAATAAGAATTAAAATAAAAATAATATTAAAAAATTAATAATAATAATAATAATAATAATAATAAAATTATAATAATAATAATAATTAATAATAATAATAATATAATTATAATTCTTATTAAATTCTTACACTTCTTCGTGCCGATATAACGACTCGAAGAATGAATCGACTTATTTTATCTACTTAATCATTTATTCATTTATTTATATTTATATATATAATATATATAGCTCTCCCTCGTCTGTAATTTTTTTCGTTAATAGTGATCTTTTTTTATCGAATATAGATATATTGATATACAGAGCTAGTATCAAATTCTAACAGAATCGAACTACGTAAAAATTGTTCCAACTGTTTTGGAGAGATATGCATTTCATTCTGCACCTTGCTTTCTTTCAAGCCTTTCTTTTTTAATTTCATTTCTTTCATTTGTTTTTTCATATCTTTTTTTCCTTCTAGATAAAATATCAAACATTATTTCAAGACATTACTAAAAAAATTTTCTTACTCAAATCACGATCATTATCTATTCAAAAATTCATTTTTCTTTAATTTAACAGATAATTCTAGTGTATATCTCTTATATTAAATTATAAATATTGAGAAAAGTTCGATTTATTACAAATTCTGTTATTTAAAATATACTGATGTTTTATTTTTTTTCTGAAAATTCACGCAATGGAAAAAATCAAATATTTTTGCATCATCTATTTCGCTAATCACAATTAAAAAGATAGTCATTAAAAAATAAAAGAGATTGTCGATTTTAAGACAAAATTAAAAATTTTTTTTTAAATATCATTTTATATAAATAGATATAATTAAAACAAAAAATTTCAATACTTGAAAAGTCAATTGATATATTATCTTTTTTTTTAAAATAATTCTAACATTTCAGATCATCTAAAAATTCAAATAAAACTATTATAAAAAAATAGTACATCGTTGGTAAAGTTAGAATCGTTGCAAAAGTTATTAATCTTTTATCTTCATAAATTGTTCACGAATAATCATGATCAGCGTTATTTTTTTCTTTTTCCATTTTTCATATTTTTCTTTTTTTTTTTTTTGTCTGGGCAGTTAGGTGATTCAGTACTTTCTGTTGTATTGAAAAAAATTATCATTTAAAATAATACAGCGAATCCTGATACATAGAGTGTATAGGCTTATTTTTTGACTGTGTTGTTTAGGTTATTGTTAAAAATATTTAAGCTATATATAATCATCAATAATGAAAAAAATATTCTTGATAAAAAAAAGTTATACATAAAAAAATAACACAGTCATTTGTTTTTTTTTTCAGCCTTTTGAGATACAGGATTCTATCTAATGTAATTTTTTCTTCCCTTCTCTGTAAAGCTGATGAGATTATCGCTGCCATCGTATTCTATTAAATTACAATAAATGGTACTATTATATCGTGTAAAATGTCATTGCATATACATATGTGTATATATATACACTTATCTATATACTTATCTCGCAGCAGTAATAGTACTCGATGCAAATAGATAAAAGTAGCAATCTGCTGGCCAATATAGAATCATTGGACAATCTTTATTTATTTATTTTCATTTTTATCGTTTTTCTTGATACTTTTTATAAGTACGAAATATAATATAAAAAAAGAAATCAAAAAATTATTAAAGATCGTCCAAAGAATCTTTGCCATTTATTCTATCATATATGAAAATGAATCGTATGTTTGGTCAGTGTGAAAAAATAAAAATAATAATTTTTATATTCTGCAAACTACTGTGGACCACGTCAAGATATTGTTTTTTATATTTGGTTGTTGTTTTTTTTTTTTTTTTTTTTCTTTTATACTTCCTTCTGGTTCGCACACGAACATCTTCACACATGAATCTTTACGTATATTCTCACATCCACCCTTTCATTCATGAATTCCATCAAAGAATTCTTTCAGCGCAAACAGACGGAAGGAGAGAGGCATGCAAATAAATTTTAGAAAAACGAGTCTTTTTCTTCTCTTTTTGGTCAAATTGAGCTAAATATTTTGAAATTCTTAATTTTTGTTCATGTCTTGCTGTTTCATGTTTTTGTTTTCGTTTTCCAAATTAATTCGTTATCTACACGATAATTTGCGGACATTAGTACATAATAATCAAGTGTTGTGTAGCGCAATAAATGTAGATCTCTGTATAATGAGAAATAATAGAGTTACTTATCTGCAAAATTCTTGATCTTCACGGTTTTACATTCTTTTTAATATATATGTATTTTTATTATATACGTATATTAGAATTAATTAGCGCCGTTAATTCAACTCGATTCTTTTTCTTTCGAATCTGAAAGCAAAAAAAGAGATTCGGTTAGGAGGATATAATATAAAATATTTAATAGATAATTGAAATATTTAATCAAGTAATAACTTGAGCGCGTAACAGAAATTTTTTCCAGAAACATCAATGTAAGCTGAAGAATTTTCTATTTTTATTTACCGCTATCGGATTTGTCTTCGGAAGTTCCATTTGTCAATTCTGGTTCTTTCTTCTTCTCTCCTTCCTCAGATTCGACGCTTGAAGCTTTTTTCTCTTGACTTTCTTGGCTAGCCGCCTTCTTATCCTTCGTCTTTCCTTTAGCAGGAGTTGCTGGCTTCGGTTTTGGCTCGAGACTCGGATCCAATACAATTTTACCGATGTTTTTACGGTCATGCATCTTCTGCATAGCTTCCGGAACGTCTTCCAAAGCCCATGTCGAGTCCACCACAGGCTTTATTTTACCCTCGTTCCATAAAGCGAATACCCGTTCCACTGCTCGTCTCACAAATGCATGACTTCCATGCTGATACATCAAGTGACGCAAATTCAACCCAGACAAGGTTTTATTCTCGTCGAACAGTTTAATGGGAGATACTTTGTCCACTTGCCACCACTATAATACAATAAATATATCAATATTAATTATGTATACAAGTGCTTTATAAAATATTGTTAAATTATATTGTCAATTTTATATTGATTAAGCGATTTAAATATAATTTTCAAAATGATATGACGATGATGAATTAAGTACATTAATAATATAATAAACTTTTACATTCAAGAAGAAACGTTAATTAATTTTTTTAATTTGTATTTCCCATGTTAAGTTTAATTAAATTAACAATTTTTAACATAATATAAAATCTAGTTATTACAGCTTATTATAAGAAAAAATTATCTTTTTGTATACAAAAAAAGAAAAAAAAAATATAATCATTTAAAGAAAAAAAGTTAAATGAAAGTATGTTAGATTATTTTGATAACATACTGATCGTGCTGCCGAGAAAAAGCTCTTAGTTTCGCCAGTGACAACATTACTAGATCCATAAAGAATATATTTTCCCATAGGTTTTAGCAAAGCATATCCTTTGTTGCATTCTTCACCACAAAGGCAATCCAAAACGATATCCACACCCTCTGGTGAGATCCTGTGGAAAAAAAGAGAAATGAGATATATGAATTTTATAATATATACGTATATGTATAAAACATATTATTGTTTCAATAATAATCAATATATAAACATATGTAGAAAAACTGCATTTGTATGAACTAATGAAATAAGACCAATAATTTTAAGAATGTACGTGAATTTTTGTGGAAATTTGGCAACAATATGAATTACATAAAAATATATAATTTGTGAAATTCGTTACACACTTTCTGACTTCGTTACTATAGTCCGCGCCTCGTTCCAAGATGTGATCAATGGTGCCAGTTGCTTTCAGTGCTTCGTGCTTCGATTTGCTGCACACTCCAAAAATGGTTACATCCTTCACAGTTTTGGCCAATTGAACGACTGCCTGACCCTAAAAAAAAAATTAATTGATTAGATGTACATTAATAAATAGAATATATTAAAAATAATTTAAAAATAAATACGTAAAAACTAGATGATAAAATTAACTTTCAAACATACTTTCGAATACCTTATTAATTCATTAGAATGTTGATCAAAATCTTTTGTATGATTCAATCTGTTAAAAAGTTTTAATAAGACGCTTTCCACCTTCTAATAATATCTTCAAATGAATTTTTTTTTAATATTCTATTGTAGGAGAATATTTTTGCATAAGATATATAACAATTTCTATCTTTCAAATTCAATAGAAATCGCCAAGAATCATAGTTAAATTATTTTTAGTACTAGCCTGTCCCTATCATGTTCATCAAATTCGTAATCCTATTATGCAGGCTAAAGATGGAAAAAGCATGTTCTGAAGTCTTTTCATCGCACGATCGCGAAAGAACAGTCAGAACAGGACACGAGATAGGAAAAGAAAAAAATTGAAGCGGAGATCTTGGAGATTTTCTCAACAGAAGCAGCATTCATTATTTCCGAGAATCGAGAGAGCTCTCTCTTTTCTTTTCTCTCTGGCTCGCCACTCTGTCCGTTGTCGAGAATTCGATACCCAATAACGTTGACCAATCCCTGAGCCTTGAGTAACTAAGAAGAGGGATAAAGACAGAGCGACAAGCTTGAAGGGAAGAGTAACAAGAATTTAAGAAAACGAAAAAAGATCGAAGTAAAAAAGTAGCAAAAAAAGGAAGAGCGTGGACGAGGGCTAGAATGTTAAAAAGCCGCTCTAAATTGTACGTCATAACACATTGTTAATCGATTGAAAACCATTCTTAACTTTTCCATTATATGTATTATTAATAATTTATAATAACATATTTCATTTATTTATTTTGTTAAGAGAAATTTTGATTCTCGATATTTTTAAATACGTATGATAACTTCTGTTTAAAATTTAATAACTTATTTAATTAAATTTAATTAATTAATTTCATGAATTTGGCTAATTTGATCATAAAAATGTCTTAATATATTTCCTTTTTTTTTATACTGTAACTAAGTTAATTTGATTGAATAGAAAATTTATAATTCTTTTCTTTTTTTATAGAACAGAAAAAATTGAAACTGATCAAGAAATGAAATTTTTTCAAATCAAGTATTCATTTCAGTTTTCTATATGATTTCTATTATCTAAATTCTTTTTCAATCATAATATATTTAAATAAATTACTAAGCATATACTTGTAAGTTTAAATTTTAATAAATTCCTACTTTGTTTCCATTCGTTCTATTTTCCGTATAAAATAAAAAAAAATTGAAAAAAAATTTCTTTGTAATGTCGTATAAATTTTCATTGTAGTTAACTTTATATTTCGATAAAAATTCTCAATATCCAATCTGAATAAATTTTACAATTACCAACCAAACTAGCTACACTATTGGTTAATGCGAACAGGGCTTAAGAGCAATGTACAACACGTGCTAACGCGATACTATGATGGTAGTGGAAAATAGTGGTGGTGGTAGTAGTGATGGCGGTGGTATGGTCTCAGACGGGCGCGGCCCGTCACGGTGGTCGATGAGAGAACGAAGGGTTGCCAAGCAACCCTCACACCCCCGTCGTTTTGTGCACCAGCGGCGGTAGCAGCATCCCCCGTAGATTTCGTCGTCTCAACTTCCAACGATGCTACGCGACGTGTACAAACCAGCGGCTGAGTGGGATGGAGGTACGGGAGAGGGGATGAGTGGGGAGAGGGGATGAGTGGGGAGTGGAAGAGGTGAGGCTCAGAGAAGTGGGGGAAAGTTGCGAGGCGATGTAGTTAGCTTCGAGTGTAACCTGTTGAGCCGTATTGATCCCGACGTAGTCGACTGGCTCCCGCCTTCTCCTTCGACGACATTGAGAGAGAAAGCGTTGTGATGTGACTCGAGCCGACTTCGCAAAAGGGGCAGTAACCTTGCACCACGTTGTCGCGATCTCTTCTTTCTCTCTTCTTTTGTCTCTTTTCTTGAATTATAGTTGCATTTCGCTGTTTCACGATGCAATTTTCTTTCGAAAAATTATGGTGAAAAATGGCTAATGAATTTTTATTTTAGGGAACGGATGTTATTTTATAAGATTTTATAAAATTTACGTTTCAATAAAAGTAATATCAGAAAAAGATGTCTCGTTTGTCAACAACATTGACAGCATTTTTTCATAATAAAAAGACATAAAACATTTTTATATCTTTAATCGACAAATTTTATTTTCTAGTGGAGAATCCTATACGGATATCTAAGTTTCAAGGGATAATTCTGTACTCGATTAAAGTTTTATTTCTTCTCATATTTAAATTACCATAATAAATCATAAACGAGGCAGAAAAATACTTACAAATTGACTGCGCCAATTAACAAACAATATCTAATCATTCAACGAATATATAACTTAATCTCAATAGTTCAATCCTCAATTCGATTATCTTATATTTTCTAAAGCCTAATTTTATCACTTTCCTTTTCTTTAATTCTTCTTTAATTTTCTTTTATTTTACTTACTTCCTTCGGTGGATACACGGCGTCTTTCTCGAAATAATATTTTCCACTTTGAATAATTTATGATTCTTTTTTATCGCAACATCAGAAGAATACTTACCACACCCCCGCCGGCGCTGTGGAGTAACAGATTCTTTCCGGGCGTTAAATTAGCCAGTTCGAACAACAGAATGTAAGCAACAGTATAGTTCATCGTGATCGCCGCTGCATCGAGGTAGCTCATTCCGGCTGGTAGCGCGAAAACGGACGTGGCCGGTACAGCGACAAGCTCTGCCCACGCCTTGTGATCAGGAAGCGCGACCACTCGATCGCCCACCTGAAAATAAGCAACCAAAAATGTTAAATGTTTATTATGCATCAACTTTGTTACTGCTCTTTCCTTTTCATTTACTTTTTTCATATATTTTTTCTTTCTTTTGCCTTTACAAAGTTTTATAAATCGATCTCCTCTTTCCAACAACTCGATCGATAACGTTTAGATGAGAACCACTGCGACGAAGCAGATTATCCTATAAAGGAGTAAGTAAATGAATGAGTGAGTGAGTGAGAGAGAGAGAGAGAGAGAGAGAGATATCTCCATATATAAATGCAACAATGCCAAGAACTCGAGGAAGCAAGCAAGGAAAGGAGGGGAAGGAAAGGTCTGGGTTAGGAGAGACGCTGCAAGCTCAAATATTCCATCTCGAAAAGTTTCTCATTTCCACGCATACTTGCTGTGCACGCTATACACGCGCTAGCGTCGGTCATTTACACGTACATTTGAAACACCCTAAAGTCTTAAACATGGTATCCCCCTCGCATGACCTCGAGGAGTTGTGCCAGTCCTAAAAATAGACCACCCCAAGATATGAGAAACGGAGAAAAAGAGAAGGGAAGAAAGGAAAAAAAAGAAGCTGTTCTCCTGTGATGTATACCGATTCACGAAGCCGAGAAAGTGGAATCGTGGAACTCCACCCTTACGGAAGAATTAATGGGTGAAAAATTCAAGGACGACGGGTTGAACGCGGAAAGAGTGTACACTATTTCGAGAACGGATCTTCCTTTGGATATGCTGTTACGCCGCAGGATATTTTCTGTCTAAGAGTAGAACAATCTTTTTTTTTTTTTTCCTTTGCTTGATGATGGAGACGGGCGGTTTACAGATCTTTTCCTTTGATGGTTTTTTCTTATGACGACTTAAAAAAATGAGAGAAAGAAAGGAAAAAAAAGAATGAGAGAGAGAAATTTCTTAAGAAAATTATTAATATATTAACATTTAATAAAAAGTATAATTAAATTTAAATTTATTCTTTATGAAAAAAATCTAAAAATATATTGAAAAATAATTAAATAAATGAAACACGTAAAAAAAATAACTGAAAAAAGAATTTATAAAAATTAGACGAATAATAGGAAACAGATGGCACGTAAAGAAAACGTTTGTAAAAATTATTTCGGAATATCGAGCATATATTAGAGAACTATATTATTAAAATTTCTTTATTGTTAAAACAACTTGGAGACAATATAAATGTATCATAATTTTGAAGAAGTTCACTTGGTTCACTTACTTTAAAGTTCTCCACGCCCTCGCCAACTTGCTCGATATCACCTGCGCACTCGGATCCCATAATGAAAGGAGTTTTTGGTGGGGAATCAATAGCACCCTGCCTCGCCATCAAATCTTGGAAATTTAGTCCACTGTAAAAATATAAAAATTATTGTTAAAAAAAGGAAACATATATGCAATAAAAAAATTACGCAATTAAATAATTTGCAATATAAATTTAAAAAAAAAACAAATTTGACAATTATATATATATATGTATATATAAAACAAAAATATTCCATCACTTTATTTATAAAATGAAGTTTTGTCGGACAAATAAATCATCTCAATTAAAACCAATCTACTGTACATGCACGAACCGTGAATACAATCGATAATAGATTGGTTACGTATGTTATTATTTTTTAATATTATGCAATATACTATTGCTATAACAAATGTAATATAAACAGATTAAATTTATCATGTATTGATATAAAATTTTTTTTAATATAGATTTTTGTCAATTTCGTATAAATTTTATTATCTTGATGATTTTGGAAGAAATCCAATCTAATCTTATCATTATATTACAACTTTATGTTTTATATGTTTTATAAAATTGCAAACAATTATATTATAACAGTTAATTTTTGCGGCTTGATAACTGCGTTATTTTTAACTCGGTTAATTTAGTAGTGATAACGCTAATTACGAACGAAAGTTATCTGGTATACGTGACTTTTAATGCAATTTATGAGATTTCAAATGTTAAATTAAAAATAATTATATTATTAAAAAATACTGTATTTTATCATATTCTATAAATTTAATAATTAAAAATTATATAATATCAAATTCGAATGTTCATTGCATTACATATGTAGTAAATATATACGTGCGAGTACATACATATATAGTACGCGTATACGCCTGTTCATTTCTCACATAATAGTGGAAAAATGGTAATCGATGTAGATAAAATATTCGTGGGTAGTATTCGCGCCGTTTTTCTAGGAAGCCATATGAACGAAGGCAGTGTCGATGCCGTAGAAGATTCTGATAAAGCATGTACCGACGTTGTTTCACGGTTCCCGACGTGTTTGTCGCGAGAGAGAGACCACCAGTCGTGCATTGCGTGCGACGCCAGGCGTCGTCGGTCTAGGCGTTGTGGCGCCTCGATCTACCCTTTTGCTTGTCGCTCGTATAGGGTTGGCAGAAACTTCGATCTAACTGCACACGTGTATTTGTACAAAAAACGAAACGCACGCACAACAGTTGCATCAAACTACATACACATTCAAAATATTCTATTTCAGCCTTTTCTAAAATACTAACTAAACTGCGTTAATAACATTGGACAAATAGGTTTCAATTTTAAGAAGCTTGAATTCGTGTAACGTGAAACTATTTTACTTTGATCTAAATCTATTTATTTATTTGATCTTTGGAAAGTGCGCTTTCGAGTTTCTATCAAGTTTATAAAGAAAATAATGATTCTTTTAAGTTAATTTTCTTCGAAATAGAGATCGAATGCAAATTCAAACTTCAATTAAGTTTGAAAAATTGCGTTGTTTATTCAAACTGAAGTTGTAGAAATAACGAGAAAATAATTTAATTTTTGGAAATTTATCAAAAATATTAGAACAAAGAGAGAAAGGAGAAAATGAGAAGAAATGCTACAAATATATTTATTATTTTGTATTATATGTATTATTTTCAGCAAGCATGAATTTTTTACAGCCTCAACTTTATCTATCTCATAATACAAAAATAATGTTCGTCGTATCATCTGTTGCTTTAATGCCCACGTAGCTGAGACCTAATGATGTGCACATATACAGAACATTTCGTCTCATACACATGTATTTACGCGCAATATTCATTTATAGGATGCTATTTGTTGAACATCTGGAACTGGAAAAATTTGATCTCTTGAAATAGATTTATTTATTTTTACTCTTTACAAGTATATGCTCGATCTCAATATCAATCTTCTTCTTTTGAAATATATATTTTAATATGGCAAAAAATTTTTTTATGATTTTTTTATAATTTATTTTTAAACGATATGATTATCGAAATTATAATTCAAGTAGAAAACATTTTGAAAAAAGTTTCTTTTTCTTTATTTAGATTAATATTCTATATTAATAATAGGTTATGATTACAACTTTCAGGTAGACTGACCTGACAAACGCAGCTGTCCTTGGCCTCGCAAAAAGCCAAAATTAGAAATGGCACTTAGTAACTCGGAGAAAGAGATTAGAGAAGGCATATACAGAAAGAAAGAGATGAGAAGTGCCTAGAAGCCTGCTGTACAGTTGTCTCGAACGGAAATGGGATAATGTAATTGTCTCTCCTATCAGTAGGGGATTACTCAGTTCTCTACATAAAGGATAGAAGGATAGAGGAATTTGAAGTATGCGAATAGTATATTTATTTAATGTACCTTATTATATATATATATATATATTTAATGTCTCTTTTATCTCTTATGGCCTTTGTTTTTATTTTATAATATCAATTATAATCAATTTATTTTATAATATCAATAAATATGTATAAGATATCAAACACATAATTTTTATTTATTTATTAATATTATTATTATAATTTATAATTTTTTATTTTTATCATATGAGTAAAATAAAATCGTAGAATTTTTTATTATATTTTTTTGAATGAAATATAAAATAAATATGTTTGCTATGGAAGATTATTCTTTATGCAAATCGTTTGAAAAAAATTATTTTTTTTCAGATTACTTTAGATTATTTCAGAGATGTGGTGAGACATTTTCTCAGATGTATCATAAAACTTTATCGATAATTTGTATGTGTCATATAATTTTCTGAGAATAACCAGTACAATGAATCATTACACTTAAATCGAGAAATGTCACGCAATGTCGATAAAAAATTGTCGAGAAATCGTTACATTACTTTTAATATAAAACATATATTATAGAAACGTAATAAAGTTTTATTATTAAATAATTATTATTACATATATCATTTGATATATAATATCAAAAAATTATGAAAATGTTATTAAATGTTATTAATGTTAAATTATTAATGTTAAAATGTTATTAAATGTTAAGAAAATAAATAGAAATTTCAGATAATCGAATTTACTGATAATAAAGATATCGAATAATCGGTCATTCCTATCGATCCAATCTTTTCCCTTTATCCCTTTACAAAAGGAAAGAGATAATGGTAAAAAAAAAAAAAAAAAAAAAAAAAAAAAAAAAAAAAAAAAAAAAAAAAAAAAAAAACGAAACAAATACTCGTTTATATTTATTTTAAAATAACTGCGCTAGAAAGTTATACTCGCGAAACAATTTTGTGAGAGTTGCAACATTTTGTAATATGATTTCTTCTCTGGATTTCGTAATTAGAATTAGTTATTCTTCTTTCGTTTTATAATGGCACGGAATTTTTGGGGCATAACGTAACATAAAATGCATACCGGAATTGAAACGAAGCTTGAATTTAACGTTAAAATCAAATGGGAACATCAAACAAGCAAAAATTCGAAATCTAGTTACTGGATAATGAAAAAAAAAAAAACACATCTATATATATATATTTTAACTAATTCTTTAATTGAAGATATTCTTGTTCGTTGAACTTTTATTTTTATAATTAATAAAATATATCTCATAAGTTCACAAATAATCATAAGTTAAATTTTAAAATTTCGTTATTCGATCATTTATAAAACTTGATTTTTAAATCTTCTGTTAATTTCTCACACGTGAAATGCTATTGTTAAGAATGAAGAACTGTTGAATAGAATTTATTTCGATCTTAGAATAAAACAAATTCTCAGCAAAGGATAAAGGGAAAAGGTTGTACGAGTTATGGGACTACGTGGGGCACGGTTCGCGATCGCTTAATTCCTTTAAATTACATGGAATTGGAGGGAATAATTTTCTCCATTCTTGGGGCACCGACCAATTGTACGGGAGGAGAAACGGCGACCATCGTGGATGGCGACATGCAACAACGCACCCCAGGGTCACGCACACCATGTGCACGAATGAAAGAAGACAGCTAGCAAATAGGGAGAGAGATAGACCTTGGGTCTTTTTAGTGATCAAAAAAGCGAAAAGAATCGAGAATGTGAGAAAGATGAAGAAAAAAAAAAGAAAGAAAGAAAGAAGAAATAACGAACAAATAAAAAAATTAAAGAACAAAAAAAATACGTTGCTTTTATAATTCAAATATGTCAAAAACTTAACTTTTATATTTATTTAAATATATATTTAAATAATTTGTAAAATTTTTGTAATTTAAAAAGCAATAGTATTACTATGGAACAACATAAATATTTATAATTATTAAGTAATTCAATTAAATAATTTTGAATAATATTAAAAATTTTCTTTTAATTGTGAATTCTTTAAAAAAAATGACAACCTAACGTGATTAATTTGAAAAAAATGATATTATCTTTCTATAAAACTTTACAATAGAGAACGCGTTGATCGGAAGGAAGTATGTATACGTAAAGAATCGAATACAAAAAAAGAGAATATATGAGTACAACGAAGAGAATAAAAGAATTAATATGTGGTGATGAGGCTCATACATTAACATGAGCCACATGACATTGACGATCATGTGTACAAGAACATAAAAGAAAAACTTAATAGACTATCGTTAGGAAGAACAGTGTTGCTCCGTTATATCGTTCAATTGCTATTACGTGTTGTTACGTGATAGATGGCAGTCGGATAGCTACCTGCGAACGTTCGATCGATTGACAGAGAAGACATCGAGGCGCCTGCGAAATTATACCTTCAAGTGAAATCGCACGCACAACTTGTGACTCGATATATATATATATATATATATATATATATATATATATATATAATGATAATACAATATATATCATTCACTCAACCTGTGATCAAAGTGCAGCTCAGTTATAACGTTTGCTGATTCTTATAACTGTTTAAATTAAATAGATATTGCACATCAATTTTCATCGTGATTAATAAAAACATTGTACTTGAATCAATTTTATGTATTTTTTCCCTTTATTTAATTTTTTTCCAATGATTATCATTTATCTTCAGAAGAAAAAAGATGTTATCATTATCGAAATAATAATTAATATATTTCTACATAGAAATGTATTGTCTTATGTTGATTAAATAAAAAAATTTTTAAATAAAAAAATTTTATTAAAAAAAAAATTCATAGTTGCGATTATAAGATCATAATAAGTAATCATAATTCAAAATATATTTTAATATATTGATTTTATCAATATAAAAAAAGAAGAAAAAATTCATAGAATTAAATTTAATGTTCTAACCGCAGAATGAAATTTTAACTTGGTAAATTTTCAATAACACGCTATTTGATCTAGAATAAGATATTACTAGTCGCGTGGCGTGCGACAGACTTAATGGGATTTGCACGGCATCGCATAAGTAGTACAATTGTTAATACAAAGGGTCGTATTTCAAGAGTGAAACACGCGCATATAAGTTGGAAAACTAGCTACGGCAAGCTAACCAAGTAAAACGTTATATCAAACGTCTTTATGACATAGGGAACGTTTAACAATTTGTTTACGAGTTGCTTTACAATTGTGATTCTGTTTTCGTATTGCGCTGAACACAAATCAAGACACTATTCTTAACAAACGTATTGATTGATTAAATTGCTACGAAATGCTTACTATAGATATATATATAGTATAGTACAGTATAGTATATATATAGAAATCTAGAAGAGATTGACATCAAATATTGCAGAATTATTAATCCTAGAAAATTCTTGTATATTATTTTCAATATGAAATATATACAAAGAATAATATAATATGAAATAATATGAATATACAATTCATATATTTTCTATTCATATGTCATATTTAATTATATAGTTTCAAGAATTTTATCACAAATGAAAAAAAAATTTTTGAAACTTAATTAGCTAAGAGATATTACAGTTTCGCAAAGGTCATCATATTGGAAAAAATATGAGGCAGAGAAAACAGCGTAGAAAAAATATATAAACAAGTAATATATAAAATTATTATATTTTACATGACAGATGACCTCGTCATTATCAATTGTTTTCAAACGAGAATACCGATATAGAAACTCTTTGTTACTTTTTATCGACTTTGTTACACATATATGTGTTTATACACACACACACATATATATATATATATGAGTCACGATTGAACCAAATGCATACAGTGGGTGGTTTCCCTACCTTTTTCTATGAGTCAGGCATTGACCTCTACGAATGCTAAAACTCAAGATAACTTGTACCACATTTCTGAGGGGAATTTATTAAAACCGTGATAAAAATAGATGACAAATTGATCCGTATGAGAAAACTGAAGATATGTATATTATACATGTATATTCTATATATTAGTGATATATAAGTCATTTTGATTATTATATATACTATATATATTCAAAGAAATAAATATTGAAAATGTTCATTATACAATTTTCTATATAAATAATTACAAATAAAAATAACTGTTGTTTAAAAATTCTCCCAAAATCACTTTGTGATATTCTTAGAATTTGTTGGGAGACAAAAATTGAAAATATTGCATTAAAGAAATATTTATCAATTCTCATTTTCATAACTTCTTATGTAATTATCAATTTCTTTATTCTTTTTAAATAGATTAGTTCTATTTACAATGAAAATGTTCATATGATTATTTTTTTCTTTGTACGCCTTACTAGCATTTACATTAAACTTCACAACATGGTATCATTGCTGGCATACATAATGTGTCAGACCAAAGGAGGGGAAAAAGTTAATTTTCTTCCAGACACACTTTGGATACTAAAAATAGATCTTTCAAACTAACGCCAAATGTGTTTCCACTTTTAAAGGACACAGGAAACGAAAATTTTATTCCCCTCTGTTTCCTTCTCCATTATTTATAAAAGCAACTGCCAAGTACTTACTTACTATTTATTATGCATTGCACAGATCCTCTGGAAAAAAATTTGGATACGTTATTTCTACTATATCATAATATAACGTGAAGATGAAATAGAATATACATATTTATATGTTTTTTTTGTCTTGAATTTCTTTTTAACAATGTATTGTAAGTATTTACATATTTTACATATTCAATTTCATTACTTTATATCTTTATTATCTCTATTTTATTATATGAAACAACAATATCATTAGATTATATCAATTTCATTAACCCATAAGTGATAATTATCTTTTTGAGAATGAAATCTAAGTAGTTTAGAGTAGTTGATTGACAAACAAACGTGAATTCCAATACAGTAAATCGATAAGTTACTTCCGTTTCTTGATATAGCTTTCAAATGTAATATTCACTTTCGAATACCAATATTTATCTTTCAAGATTACTTTGAATTTCCGGTTTTCATATCATTTAAGATTAATTAAGCCTATTATAAATGATAGTCATTTTCAAATATTAGAGTGAAAGAAAAAAAAATTTGTCGCATAGAATGAATAGACCCATGAATATCGCATGAATAGATCAATTGATTAGAATAGTCGAATGATAAATGAAAAATGATTTGGTTCCATTAATTCACTATAAAAGTATATTTATTTTTTTTCTAACCTAATTCTTTTTTCTTTAATACGATAGCATATTATAATTCAATATAAACTTCAATATATTAAATATATTACTTATTACTATTATTACTATTATACTATTATTTCAATAATTTAATTATAAGTAGATTTGTATTGTTAATACGATAACATGTGTTAATAAGTATTATAAGAAATATCTATTCAATGTGGAAATATACGTGCTGACGTGCTGACGTGCTATCATAAGATAGTATAAATAATAAATTATATTGAAATGATATGCGTTCGGCTTAAACAACGAATGAGTCCATTAGCAATGGAAGATTACGAGCAAAAGAAAAGTGAAAGCGAAAATCTAAAATCATATACCATCAAGTAAATCATCCATGACCATGCTACACTGCATCTAATTATACGGGACA